GAAGTACAAATTAGTAGCTGATGGATGGTCATGGGGATGGAGAATGCAGTTAGCATTAATACGATGGCTAGGTGGAAGGTCAGGGGAGGGAGGGTGCAATTGTGGGGATCATTTTATGAACAATATAGATGTCTAACCAATGTATTATATACCTGAAACTAAATTTTAAAAAATTTCAAGAAAAAAAAGGTGATAGAGATGGTACCATTTCACATTTTTGCAAAATTCTTGAAGATCATGCTTAATAAAAGCCAGCTAGATCTCATATCTGTTTCTGCAGTCTAGAATGACACTCACAGGCTCGCTGTCATGTAGCCTCTAAAAACTCCCCAGTACACTCTCAAGACAATGAAAGTAAAAGAGCAAATAATATCTTGGTATTACTTTGAAAATAGTGTGACCTCGAAAGGATGTCAGGAACCCCGTCCCTGCCCCCCAAGTCCTCCCACAGCCCTTGGAGAACCACTGCTCTAGTCAAGCCACCTTTTAGATGTAATCTGATTTCAGCAAATATCTACTCCCTAATCTGTACTCCAGTCTCACTCTCTCCTGGCTCGCTTACTACCACCACCAAATGGATAGACTTCCCTAATCTCAAAAAACAAAATTGAAACAAAACAAAACTTCCTACTCAAGCTCTCTCCTCCTCCTCTCAAGTCATCAAACTTCTTGAAAAAGTTCTCACTGCTTCCACTGCACTACCTTTTTATTATTTTAATTACCAAAGTACACAGACATTCTCATTTTTTAAAAATAAAAACAATATAAATAAATCACCATTCATAATCCCAATCTCTTTCCCAGAGATGACCACCACTGTTACCCCTAGAAAATACCCCGAACCTATTTTGTAAACTAAATAGATTGAAAATTTCAGATTGAAATTTTTATTTTCTTGTGATTTTCCTTTTCAAATAGTTATAGGAAAAAAAATTCTAGAAGAGAGTTCTGTTTAGGTTCCAATTCTTTTGGTGACCAAAGTAAATTATGGATCAAAGGGTAAGGCTGAAAGATAATCAGGAGATAAAATGAAGTGACACTTCTATACAAAGCAAGTATTGAACAAAACGTTAAAATGTTGTTCAGTACTTGTTTTGATTTTATGGTAATACAACCTAAGACAGAATAATGAGACTTATGATATGCCTTGTATGTAAAATCCTCACCTTCACATTTCGTTAGCTAATTGCAGATGAATGCTGAATGTATTTTACCATCTCGATATATATATAATAGTGTCATTAGAATTTATAAAACATTTACACATACATATTCTCTTCAAAATTTCCCAACCCATGAGGTTAACAAGGACTATCATTAACACTTTATAGATAAGAAAGCTAAAGTTCTGAGAGAAAAAATTACTTACTCAAAATCATAAAGCTAAAAAATGCACGCCAGAAGCCATAGATAGAATTTATATCTTTTAACTTAAATCAAATCTCACTTTCATATCATATTGAACAGTACACCAAAAATCTTTGCAATATAAAAATATTAAGTTCTTGCCTATTTTTAGAGCGAATTTGGCAAAATTATCTCTATAGAAAATACGAAAATAAATTGTATTATTTCTGAATGCAAAAACTAATAAATTATTTTTGTTTATTATACAATATAATCCCTTAGGGACCTTGCATTTTACTAAAGTGACAGTTAAAATTTACTAACACCTGCATCAACATATAGATGTATTATAAAATTAGAAAAATAACTTCTCAAATCCTTAATTAGGCATTGCCATTAATAAAAGATCTAAGACACTCCATGTAAGGATAATACAACAGCTCCTAAAAAGAACACCACAGATATGTAATTCATGGATGCTGCCCTCATATTTCAGTGTTATCCTTGAAATTCCTGCAAGGAACACAGGAATTTCACAATCAGAATTTTGAATTATATTGTTAAAAATTAATAATCCTACTTATACAAATAACAAAGCAATTAATTCATTTATTAATCTCACTAAAACACTGTTTCCAAGTCCCTATTTTTTCCTACACCAAGATAGCTTCATAAGAGTCAAACATATTTAAATGATTTCTTTGTCATGACACATTAGATTGGATTATGAAAAAAATGAACTTAAACTGAATCTTAGCTGACTCAACTTTACAAATAATGAGAAAAAATTTAAAATATAATTAAGTTAATCTTATAACACATCCTGATATTTTAAAAATATGGATGAGGTAACTGACTATTCCTCACATTTTACACTTCCTAAATATAAAAGATATATATATACCTGCTCTCAACACAGTCTTATCAGAACACTAAAAACCCACAGTGACATAGTTCAGTACTCAAAAGTAGTCTATGTAGGGCTGCGAAGCTGCTTTACTAAGAAATGTTTGAGCATTTCTCTTACCTCTGTTTCTGTACAATGTGAATATCCCAATTTACCTGTAATAAAAAATACAAAAAGTTAATTCAAAGGATTTTAACCTCTTTTTAATTTTAAGAGATTTATTAAAGCATCTTATCACAAAGATGGAAACACATACAAATTAGAAATATGCAACCATCATCTTCCACAGTTAAGTTAAAATGTTAAATATTTTTCCTGTTTTCATAGCTGAAAACTTCACATCTTATACCCAACTCACTTACCCTGAATATTTCATTCATCCTTCCTAAAAGTAACTAGGGCAGCAAATAACCAAAACGAGAACTATTACATAAAGAAAGTGCAAAGTTAAGAAAAAAAGTATAGAGAATACCCTGTTCCCACCCCCGCCCCATTAAAGGCAAAAAATGGCACTTTGCTCTTGCTTAACCTAGACTGTCTTTAAAAACTACTAAACTGTTAGAGTTAACCAAAAACAAAAACAAAAAAAAACCCTGACTTTTGATAGATGTTCAAAAGCTTGTTAGTATTTGAAAATGCTTAAACAAAGAAAAATGTAGTTTATATCAAGTTTGAAGAGCCCTGTATTGCTGCATTCTGTAAAATAAAAAAAAAGACAAAAAGCTGGTATAGGGTTTATGACAAGGGCATAATTTCTTCAAGCAAGCATGTAAGGAGGTGAAGGTTCTTTTATCAGGCATCTTCGCTGCCATTTCATAGATTGGTAAAACATAACGTGGAGGTGCTTCAAAAGCAGAGTACGTAATCTTTGGCATGTTTCTGTAGTCAATGCGTTTATAGCAGTTCCAAACACAGTTAATTAGAAAGCCTTAAAAACTATGAATAAGGCAAACACAAGAACAATGAACAGGAGGCAGATAGAGTTCAATGCCAAGAGGTCATCTTTATAAGGAAAATCAGGTAATTGATCCAGATATTCTTTGATTCTTGGCAAATAAGTGAAAGAACTAACAGCAACCAGGCAACTGAGAACGAAGTCAAAAAGCTGGTAAAAGAACAGTAAAAGCTAACCCACCTGATAAGAAATTGCTCCATGTACCAGCTTTGAACTGATTTATAAACATAAGAACTGAGACAGCAAAAAAAAAACAACCCACAGGCGTTATCAGCCATTCTCTCAAATAACAACGGCCAGTGACTCAATACTGACTGTTGGCAGCTGGCATTGAGTTTGGATGAGTTACCTCCATAGTCAGCAAAATTGCCATCAATTGGTTTACCATCATGTACCAGGTCCCCAGGATGATAGACTCAGTATAGACATGGCAACAGCTGCAGCACCTGGTGTTGTAGAACTGGTCACTGAGATTCTGCTTGCATGTCATGGACTCCATTGGGAATCTCTCCGGCCTTGTTCTTGGACCGACCCACAAAGGCTTTTTGACCAGCAGCTAAACCCAAATAGCTCTGTTACAGTGTCCAAAACCAAATAAACATGCTTCTTCCAGCCTGCCCTCAACCCAGGCCCCAGCCAGCTCCTTCTACGCACTGAATCAATTTTCGCTTTTTTATCATTGATAAAAATATTTGAGATACTCTGGCCATGGCTACATTTATGAAAAATCTATGCAAATAAAAGGTGCTGAAACGACCAAATAGTCTAGAAGGCTGTGTATAGAGATTTAAGTTTACATAGGCTCATAAGAAAATAATACAGAAAAAGATGGGAAGAATATGCTTAATCGTAATAAGATCTGAAACACGTACACATATTTAATATGCATATATACAAATGAAAGTAAAATAAAAATGCTTTAAAAATCTAAATCTTTTTAAAATATCTTAAAATACTTTTTTAAAGTACCTTTTAAATACTCTGAAATATCTTTAAAAATCTTTAAAAGACTCAAGCTTTTCCCCAAATATAGTTCCAATTTAAAGGTACAGTGATCAAATCAATGAAAACAGAAATGTTCCCAGTTCCTATTTTCTTTAATATATGATGACTGTTTTTAACATAAGACTACACGAAAACATATAATCTAGAAATTCTTCCAATAGATGATCCCCTAAAGAATAACTAAACAATATTTGCCTGTACCAACATTAATATTTTCTCTTCATCACTGAGACATAATACCAAGGAAAATGTAGTTACATATTTCTGTCAATTTGGGTGATTAAAACATACTTTAAAAAAAAAAATACCAGCTATTTTAAAGGAGATTCATTTGTTAGTTTTAACAAAAATAAAATACTAAAAATTATAATTTCCCCAGTTTATACTTCTCAAATTTCATTGTACTAAGTTCAAATACACATTTACTCCCTCCC